CGGGCGCGCGAGAACGCCCCCGCCGCGCGTGCCGACCGGCAAGGGCGGAGCGCACCCCCGCGCGCGGGGGGGGGCCGCATGAAAACGCTTTTTCCCCCTGCGCGCGGCAACGAAGTTGCGCTGCGTCGGGGTCGGGGGCGCGCGAGCATGCCCCCATCCGCGCGCGGCGCATTGCAGGTGTGGACACAGATTTGCAATTGCCAGCAGGGAGCGCGGGTCCTGGCGGCCGCGCGCACTCCGCTTGGCAGCGCGTTCCGCTCCTGCTTCGCCCGCCCGCGCCCATTTTGTGCCTTGCGGGGCATGGTCGGTGGGAGGGCTCGCGCCTTGGGGCGCTCGCTTGGTTATGTCCCACTCGGGCCCGCCCACTTGGGAGGACTCGCGCCTGGGGGCGCTCACTTGGTAGCGCTCATTGGGATGGTGCGAGGTGGCGGCGGAGCGGCCGTTGGTTGTGCTCGATCGCGCGTTGGGGCGAGGCTGGGCGGCGGCTCCCGATGCCACCCCCCCTGCGCGCGGCGTCGGCCCAGCGCGAGCGCGGGCCTCCATCCGAGCAGCCAGCGGCGCACCGTTGCGTTCGCCCTGAGTTGGTGCACGGGCCGCCAAAGCCAAGGCATTGATTTCGTCGTTCAGATGTGTTCGGACGGTTTCGAGACCCAGGGCGGTGTCCATCATCGATGGCGTTCGGGGGTGCCCAGATTGTCCCGAGCGGCCGCCGAAAAGTCAAGTTATGACCCGAAAACCAAAAGGTATAGGTTCAGCATGGGCGCGTCGACCCGAATCGTGCACTGATCGCCCACGGGTGCCCCGGCAACCCACCCCGCCCAGGTCCGTGCGGAGTCGCTATCGAGGGCCCGTCGCCGATCGATCGGCGATGTACCGCCAACTCCAGCTCGATGCGTCCCCCCTGAGCGGGTCCCCCCGATCGACCCCTCGCAGCACAGCGGGCCCCGCAGCCCGCGCGCGCGCGCCGCGCGCGGGCCCTCCCGCGCACCCGCGCCGTGCACGCCCCGCCAGACTTCCCTCACCCTGCGGGGGGGGCTTCTCCCGCCACCTAGTGCCTCTTGCTCCTCGTACTTCTACCACCAATTCTGACGTTAAGGATGGGCCCTTGCTGGCAAGGGCACACCGCATCCTTCGGTTATTGGGCCCCTTACATCCTTGGGTTTTGAGGGTCGGGTCGGCGCGTTTTTGTTCGTGCAGGAGCGTTCCAAGGGTCTTGCACTCTTTGGCTCCATCCTTGTCGTTGGTTTTGACTGTGCTGCCTAGCGCTTTGCCGGCATAGCGCGCTTCGGCTTGACATTGTAGCGTGGAGACGGTTCAACAGCGCAGTCAGCAGCAGCGCCCAGAACAAGAAAAGAGGCATGTGCCGAGGGATATTGCGTGAATGTTCGTGGCGGCGTGACTTTTGCACGACATCAGATTTCCGAAATGCTCGTAACATGAATATCTCCCCCCCTCACAGAACTGAGAGGGAGGAGGAGCAGGAAAAAGGGGAAGCGCAGGAGGAGGCAGAGAAGCAAGACCTCCGTCGTTTCAGTGTTTCGTGATATGGGGCCCTTGGGGATCCCGACCCCTTCAGTAGGGCCCAAGGTCTGGCCCTTCATCCTGAGGCAGTCGAACCGGCCGTAACGATGGACTTGCATCGCCCAGATCTGAGGGGAGGAGGGAAAAGAAGAGGATGAAGCAGTGCCAGATAATCCGATGTCTTATTTGTTTGCAGACGGGGTGAGGAAACTCCCGTCCTTTTTATCAGGGCCCGTTTTTCACCCTGCATTTTGTTTCGGTCGCCTCAGAGCCCGACAGCGGCCCCCCGATGCAGAACTGCGAAAAGTATGTGGCCTCGATCGTTTCAAGGCGCTGGAAGTCTGGATATGATCGGAGGAGAAGGAGGAGGAGGAGGAGGAGGAGGAGGAGGAGGAGGAGGAGGAGGGGGAGGAGGAGGAGGAGGACAATGGACAATGGACATTGGACAATGGACCAGCCTGCCTCCAAGAAGCAGGTCGGAGGAGGGGGAAACAAGGGAGGGGATGTGACAAGATAGGTGCGCTCACGCCCTACGCCTCCCACGCCTCCAAGCAGCCTACGCCTCCCACCCATCCATTCCCATGGCGCTGATTTGTTCCATCCGCCGACGGATGCCATGGCGGACTTGGAACCTCCAAACGGACACTAGCGTGTCATGCACAATCATACAACGGGAATTGTGTGCACTGGACAGGATGAGGAGGAGGAGGAGGAGGAGGAGCAGGAGGAGGAGATGACGGGTGAGCAAGAGGATGAGCAGGCGGAAGGGAATGAGAGGAAGGAGGACGAGGATGAGGAGGAGGACCAGTGTTAACCTCAGACACATCAACGATGATGCAATAAACCTCATTTCGCAGGTCCTTACCAGAATGTGTTTTCACTGCGGAGGGGTAAGCTGCGCTCTCGCCGCCCGACTCGCTCTTGGCCTCGTGGCCTCGGGCTGATCATTTGCTTCGTTCGCTGGCGGCCTCGTTGCATTTAATCGCTTCGCTCACTCCGCCGGCCCATCTTGCATCACTGGTGCTATATGTTTGTGTGTTCGTGGCGAGCGAACACACAAGGAGGGAGGCGGAGAGGGAAGGAAGAAGGAAGGGTTGGTTAGACGATAGGAGGCCTCTCGGGGGGCTCTTGGCGGTATGCCTGGGGCCTCCTGGGGCGCTTCGCCGCATGCAGCGTTGTTGGGGTGTCTCGGGAGCCTGTAGAGGCAGTTTTGAAGCCTCGTGACGGTCTCTTCGGAGGCTCTCGGCGGGCTCTTGGCGGTATTAATTGGTCTTCTTGGAGCCTCACGGGAGCTTATTGGGGCGTCTTGGGGGTGTCTTGGAGGGTCTTTCGGGGCGGAGGACTTGGAGGACTTCAAATTCACGTTGGGGCTCCTCGTGGGAGGCTCTCTTGGAGTAGTCGTGGGAGTCTCTTGGGCCGTCTCGGTTTGGGGTATCTCCGGTGCTTCTTAGAGGCAGCTTTGAAGTCTCTTCAGGGTCTCTTGGGAGGCCCTCGGCGGTCTCTTCGCGGTATTTGTGGGTCCTCCTGGGGCTTCACGGCGCTTCACCGCAATCAGCGTTGTTGGGGTGTCTCGGGAGCCTCTTAGAGGCAGTTTTGAAGCCTCGTGACGGTCTCTTGGGGGGCTTTCGGCGGGCTTTTGGCGGTATTTGTTGGTCCTCTTGGGGCCTGGGGCCTGACGTTGTTGGTCCTCTTGGGGCCTCACGGGAGCTTATTGGGGCGTCTTGGGGGTGTCTTGGAGAGTCTCTTGGAGCCTCTTTCGGGGTCCTGGGCGCCTTCTGGGGCGGAGGGCTCGATTTTTCAGTTCTCGGTTCCCTTCTTGAGCCCCTCTTGGGCCCGTCTTGGGGCCTCTTGGTCCGCCTTGGGCAGCACTTGGGCCGTCTGGGGGGCGCTCTTGGGCCGTTCCGGGGCCGTCTTGGGAGCCTCGTGGGCCGTCTTGGAGCAGTCTTGAAGGCCTCTTGGGCCCTCTTGGAGCGTCCGGAAGCCAAAAGGCCAGAACGCAAAAAAACATAGAACAAACCAATGAAAATCAACGATTTTGGCGACTTGGGGCCCTCTTCGGAGGCCTCTTGGAAGGCCCTTGGAGCGTCTTGGAGGCCTCTTGGGCTGTCTTGGGGCCATCTGGGGCGTCTTCGGGCGATCTTTGGCCGTCTCGGGCCTCTCTTGGACCGTCTAGAAAGCTTCTCGGGGCCCTCTTGGACCGATCTGGAGCCCTCTTGGACTCCGAAACAGAACTCCGGCATCTCTGACCCGACCTTGCCGGGACCTTGCCGGGGACTTGCCGGGGACTTGCCGGGACCTTGCCGGGGTACTTTTCGTCCGGGGACCCCCAGGGGCCGCCCCGCGCGCGCGAACTAGAAATGCTGTTAACCAGGTGCCGGAGATCTTAGCACGCCCTGGCCCGTTGGGCCGGCGAATTGGGCACTGGGGGGACCTGTGTGCTCATCGCCTGGTGACACCCCTGGCATTACTCTATCGTCACCTCCGTGTTCCCGTTGGTTCTGTGCCTGGGCAGGGTACGCACTCGTTGCCCGACGAGTTTGCTGACCTCTTTCGCTCGTTGCCTCCCTGCTTTGTTACCTCGGGCCCCTGGGCAAGCTCTTGGCTCGCCGCCGGACTTGTTCCCTGGCTCCGCTCCTGGTTGCCTCGGGCCACGGGCACGCTGTGCGTGCGTTGTCCACCTTTGCGGATCTCGAGAAGAAGCACGATGATCATGACCAAGATGTCGCAGGATACAGTCGACGCCGACCTTGGTCATGGTCCATGCTGACTGTCGTCGATTCGCAAGGATGATCCACGAGTTGACGATGACCAACATGGACGATGAACAAGCTCCGTGGCCCTGCGCCCTAGGCAAGCTGTGATCTCGTGGCCCGATTGCGAGCGCAGCTCGTAATTTGCGTCCGCGACGTTGGCATATGGCAATCTCCAGGGGGGGATTTTCGGGCGGCGGTTTCATCGTGCGTGAGGGATGAGCAAGTCGCGAGCCAGGGTGGCTTTTTTCGCCTCACTTGGCGTATGCAGTCGTAGGTGACGTCTGCGAGTATTTGGGTGACCATCGGAGCGGGGAAGGATCTCTGGGTGGTGGGCGCTCCTCGTATTCTCGAGGCTCAACTGGGGCCAAACCATGGGGGGCGGGGCTTCGCCGAAGAAAGAGTGTGGCTGCAGGCTGCTTGCCGGGACATCCTTGCGTGGCGCGTCTCTTGGCCGATGCCCCCGCCGCCGCACAGTGTCGCGCACAGCCCCAACGAGCGTGCCCCTTGCGCCCATCGGCGCCGCAGCCCGCCCTCCAGAGCAGCTTCGCAGAGCCCGAGAAAGTTAAACAGAAGCACGTTGGCCTCGGCCACTCCTGCCAGCTGCCCAGCCATCAGTCTCCTCGTGCAGATACGGCATGTGAACGTCATGATCAAACAACAGGCCCGCTGCGGACCCAGGGGTCCTCACGGATCGATACGACTCGAGAAGTCCAGCACAAAGAAGGGATCGAGGGCTCTGGCCGCGATCCGTCATGGCGTCGTAGTCTTGCCGGGGGCCTCGGACCTTGGGGCCCCTCCCTGGCCCTTTCGGCTCTGGCCCTGCCTCGCAGGAGGCCTGGCTGGACCCGAGCGCGGAGGAGCGCCGGGGGCACCCGCAGATGGGCCGGGGCGGCAAGGGCAGGGGCGACGGCGGTGGCAAGGGGAAGTGGCGGGCAGCGGGCGCTGGCGCGGCCAAGGCGGCCGGCCCCGCAAGCGCAGGAGCGCCGCGGCGCACGCCCGAGGGCGTAGCGCCGGCCCGAGGCAAGCGCCCGAACGGCAGCGGCGAGGCCGTGGCCGTCGTGGGCGGCGGGCTCGCGGGGCTGGCGTGCGGCTGGGGCCTGCTGGAGCGCGGGCTGCCGGCCGTCGTGCTCGACACGGGGAAGCGCGGCCCTGGTGGCCGCGCCTCCTCGCGGGTCGTGTCGGCCGGGGGCTGCTCGCACGTGGTGGACCATGCGGTGCAGGCGTTCACGGCCAGCGTGCCAGAGGTGCAGCGGCTGCTGGAGCAGATGGAGGCCGCGGGCGCCGCGAGACGCTGGCGGGGGCGCGTCGGGACGGTGGACATGGGCGGTGCCTTCCGCCTGCGCGACGAGGCAGCGGACGGCCCCCTTTGGATCGGCAGCCGCGAGAGGGGAGTCGGAGCCATCTCCGAGTGGCTGGCGGAGAAGCAGGAGGTGATTAAGGACGTCTGGGTGGCGAAGCTGAGGTGGGCCGACGGAGCAGGCTGGGAGCTCTTGGGGCAGAGGGGGCAGCTGGTGGGCGAGCACACTTACAACTATGTCGTCATGGCGCATAACGGCAAGTGCGCGGACCGCCTCATCAACACGGCCCCTTGCCGGACCGCCGCGCATGACCCGTTGCGGTGCCGATTCACTGCGAAGGCGTCCGTGACCAGCGACCGGCTGGAGCTTAGTTCTCTGTGGGTCTGCGTCCTGGAGGCGCCCCGCGGCGTCGCAGACTTCGAGGGCGCGTTCGTGGAGGGAAGCGCAGTGCTGAGCTGGGTGGGAAACAACTCCGCGAAGTATGACCAGACCTGGGCCAGGGACAGCGATGTGTGGACGCTGGTGTCCACGCCCGAGTACGGTGCCAAGAACAAGTGTCCCCAGGAGGCTATCCCGGCCGACGTGCGACAGAAAGTGTCCTCCGAGATGATTTCCGCTTTCGGTGCGGTCCTCGGGCCCCAGCGCGGCGGCGGCCTGCAGCGGAGCCCAGTGCTGCACCTGCAGCTCTGGGGCGCCGCGCTGCCGCTGAACGTGTGCGCGCAGCACTTCATCCACGACCCAGAGGCCCGCGTGGGCGTCTGTGGCGACTGGCTCACCACGCCCTCTGTTGAAGGAGCGCTGTTCAGCGGCCTGGCGCTGGCAGAGGCCCTCGCCCGGGACCTGCGTCGTGGCGGGCTGCCAGGCACTGGATCGCGCCGCTTTGTGGGCAGCGGCGGCCACGCCCTTGGACACTTTGGGCGCTCCGACGCGGCCCCGAGCGCAGCAGAAGCCGTGGACCAGCTCCTGGGCGCCGCTGCGCCCGCGCCCTCGGCCGCGTGCGCCGAGGCGGGCGGTGGTGCGCCGGTGCCGCAGGGACGCCCGCCCGTCCCTGCCGGTGGCTCTCGCTGGCGGCGCCGAGAGCCCGCCAGCGAGGGCGCCGCGCCCTCTCCGGCGGCCGTGCCCGCCGCCACGGCCAGCGCTGCGTCCAGCGCCGCATGGGGGCGCGAGGGGCAGCAGGCGTGCCACGGTGCACCTCTGCGTCTGGCCGCGCTGGCGGCCTGGGCCGTGCAGGGTGCGGGCCTCGTGGACATCGGCGCGAACATGTCCAAGTGCAAGCCGCAGGACCTCGCCGAGCAGCTGGCTCGGGCCGCGGCGGCAGGCGTGGGCAGGATGATCCTGACGGGCTGCAGCGTGAAGGGGTCACGAACCGCACAGCAGCTCTGCGAGTCGTGGAGCGGCGCCGCTGGCTGCCAGAGGGCCCTGTCGCACCTCGGCGCCGCCGCGGTGCGGGAGGTGGGCGCGGCCGGCATCAAGGAGTTCCCAGTGCTCACGTTCACTGCCGGCGTGCATCCGCACGACGCGAGCACCTGTGACGCGGGCACCCTCCCGGCGCTCCGCGGCATGGCGGCCCACGAGCAGTGCGTGGCCATCGGCGAGTGCGGGCTCGACTACGACCGCATGTTCTCGCCGAGGGACGTGCAGCTGGAGTGGTGCCGCCGGCAGGTGGAGCTCGCAGTGGAACTGGGCATGCCCCTCTTCATGCACGAGCGGGACAGGGACGCGAGCAAGGGCCCGCGGCTCGGCTCCGCCAGGGACCTTCTGGGCATCCTGGACGACATCGGCGTGGATCCCGCCCGCGTGTGCGTGCACTGTTACACCGGGCCGTCCGAGGAGCTCCAGGTTTACGTCTCGCGGGGATTCTTCATCGGCCTGACAGGCTTCGTGGGCATGACGCGCCGAGGCGAGCACGTCCGAGACTACCTCAAGAAGGGCCACATACCGCTGCAGCAGCTCATGATCGAGACGGACTGCCCCTTCATGATGCCCGACAGGGACTACCTGCCGGACGAGATCGGACTGCAGGGCAAGCGGATGGAGCCTTGCGCCCTGCCCGCCGTGTGCCGAGCGGCGGCGGAGTGCTTGGGCGTGCCCGAGGCCGAGGTCGCCCGTGCCACCTCCAGCAATTCCGCCCGCTTCTTCGCGCGGTAACGCGGCCGCCTAGGTCCTTGCCCCCCCGATGGCTGGGCGACCCTGGCCTCCGCCTGGCGGGGGAGCCAGGGCAGCCCAGGGGGCGGCTGGGCGGCGGCCGCCCGCAGGGGCGCAGCTCTTTTCGGCGTGAGGCGCGCCTCTGTCGTGTGTGTGTGTGCGTGGTGCACACAGGACCGCAGGTTGTGTGTCAGTCCCAGTGTGGTGGCACGGGGCTGCCTGGTCAGGGGCGACCCCTGCAGTACCAGGTGGCGCGGTAGGCGCTTTCCCCTCGTTGCATCACGCCTACCAGTGGTAAGTGTGTTGGCGCCAGGTCCTCGTCCGATGTTTCTCCTGGCTCTTGGTGCATGCGTCTTCCTGCTCCTGGGGTCGGTCGGTGTGCCTGATAACTTGTGTGTATGTGTGTGTGTGTGTGTGTGTGTGCGTGTGTGTGTGCGTGTGTGTGTGTGCGTGTATGTGTGTGCGTGTGTGCGTGTGTGCGTATGTGCGTGTGTGCGTGCGTGCGTGCGTGCGTGCGTGCGTGCGTGTGTGTGTGTGTGTGTGTGTGTGTGTGTGTGTGTGTGTGTGTATGTGTCTGTGTGTCTGTGTGTGTGTGTATGTCTGTGTCTGTGTTTGTGTCTGTGTGTGTGTGCCTCGCTGGCCCCCGGGACCGGGCAAGCAGAGCGGGCCTCCAAAGCCCGAGCGCCCGCGAAGGAGACCATTGTCGGCGGTGAGCGCTCTGATTTCCGAGGCCCTCGTCTTGCCAGCAGCAGTGGTCAGCAGCACAGATGCTGAACAATCGGTGGGTCGCTAAAAATTGTCCTGCTTGTCCGGCGGATCACTCCTTCTTGTTGTCGACACTGCTACTCTTGCAGTCCTGGGAAGGGCAGCCCTCGCGCGGATTCACCAGGAGCAGCAGTGACACTTGAGCGATGTGACAGACATGGTCGAGTGCGCCGACATTTGCGCGCAAGCTGCCCGCGAAAGGCCGCGCGTAAGTGCCCTCTCTAGAGATGGTCGCCAGAGTCCTCGAGATAGCGCAGCCCTTTTCGAATCCTCGGGGTCCCCCTTCTTAAGCTGCGCGGAAGCATCTCCTCCTCCTCCTTTCCTTCTACTCCCCTCTCCTTCTCTTCCTCCTCCTCCTCCTCCTCCTCTTCCTCCTCCTCGCAGTCCCCGAGATAGCGCAGCGATCGAGATTCGCGGTCCTCGAGATGGCGGAGTTCTCGAGGCCTTTCGTCGCGCATCTGCACAGCATCATCATAGGCAGCAGCATCTGGCCCAAATCACGCCGTCCGAACTCGGCGCTTTGGGAGGGGCATCGGCAGGAGAGTCCACCGTTGCGGCCATCTGTCCACGCCCCCCCTGTCCTCCTCCTCCCTCTCCTTTCTCCTCCCTCCTCCTCTCCCTTCCTCATCCTCCCGCCTCGATCTTTTACCTCCCTCCCCCCGCTGCTCCTCCTCCTCCTCCTCCTCTTCCTCATGCTCCTCAGTTTTTTTTTCCGTAGCCATTTTGGTTCAAGATGCAATGTTCCTCGGGGGAACAAGTGGATACCGCTAGTCCGCGGCGAGCAAGACCTTTGGGGTCTGGCAGTGCTTTTCTCCACACCTGCGCTCGAGTTGGTGGGTAAACGGAAGTGTTTCCCGTTCCTGCCCTCTCAAACACTCAGAATCATTCATGGGCGGCGACCGCAATGGCGGACTCCAGGCCGTCCGCGGCCCCAAGAGGAAAATCAAGAAGGCTCGCCGAATTCAGACTGACGGTTCTGCTGTCGCTGATGAAGGCGATGGGTTGGCTGCTGGCTCAGACACTCCTGTCCATCCTGCGACAGGTGCTTCTTCCACTGCGGCCCCTGCTGCGGGAGATGATGATGATGAAGACATCAGCAGCGAGGACGAGTGGACAAAAGACGATTACACCAAGCAGCGTGCAGGGGATTCTGTTTCCAAAAAGATGGCCGAACACAGGGACGAGCTCATCAGAGACCTCACCATGGTTGTCTCAGCGACGGTCTCCGACCAGATCCAGGACTTCGCGGCTCAGCTTACTGAGCATTCTCGTGCTGCTGGGAAGCTTGCAGAGGGACTACAGCAACTTCCAGCGATGGCCAAGCAAGCATCCGAGCAATTTTGTTCCGAGAAGCTGGGTGCCTTCTACCGCAAGTTCCAGGAACAGCTGGGCGGCCACTCCGTGCGTCTCCGCGCAGTGGAGAACAGGCTGGGTGGACACGACTCTGAACTACAGACTCTTCGAGAACAAATTCAAGAACTCCGCGCCGCCCTCGCGATCGCCAACGTCCAGCCCAAACCTCCTCTTGCCAGCGCCGCAGGCTTCGACAGGGATACCGACGCAACGATCATTCGCATCATGGCGTCCAAGTTGGTGGACTTGTCTGCTGCGCAGCAAACCATGTCGGACTGGATCGTCAGCTGCGGAATTAAGGCCGAGTTCTGCACGATCTCATCCAGCGAGCAGGTCGCCAAGCAGTTCACGATCCAATTCTCTGGGGCGGTCGGGCCTGCAGCACGCCGTGTCTCTCAGGACCTCGGTGCTCGACGGCTCGCTCCTGGCCAATGGAAGCGATTCGGAGTCATGGCCATGGGCAAGCAGATGGCGACCCTCCACATCGGCGCGGACAAGAACCCCGTCAAAGCAAGCTGGAGATCCAGGGCCGCAGGATCAGGCAGGCCTTCAAGAACGTTGCCCCTGATAAGAGGTGGTTCTTCGACCGTGGCAGGGGCTACCTTGCCTCATGGCGGGATGGGGCCCTGTTCTCCGCCTCTCTCCCAATCCTGGGAATATCCCCTCGGATATCGCCTGGGCCGACAACATTGTCCAGAAGCTGGCGCTCCCGAAGGACCAGCTGGCGGAAGCTGTCGAGGGCATCGTCTCTCCACCTGAAGCAGCAGAGTGGTCTCTTTAGTGGATTTGCCGCAGCTATTCATGGACGTTGGGCATGTCCCCCGTCTGTTGCTTTCTCATAGTGGAATGCCCGTGCCCTTCTTCAATATCATGGACATGCTGCTCGGCCGAAGCTTGCTCACCTCAAGAAGTTGGACTTCGCATGTGGTGTTGTTGCTATCCACGAGGTTCACCAGGACAAGAAACAGCTCACATACCTTCTCTCTAGAGTGGAGCCACGCGCGAGGATCTACAGCAGCTACTGCGAGGGTATTGCAATACGGGGAAGTGCTGCTACGATCCTTCCTGCTGAATGCCGCGTGGAGGTCTCTCGGCGACCATTGGTCCTTGGCAGAGTGCTACGAGTAGCCCTACGCCTGGACGGCTTCTTCGTCTACCACGACCACGGGCCGCGCGGCGCGCCGCATGTGGGGATGGGCCAGCAACGAACCGAAAATTAAATAGGACGGGCTCGGGCGATGCGATCGCGAGTCGATTCCCCGAGAAGGGCGGCCCCCCGAGAAGGGCGGCCCCCCGAACACGACGTCGGTCCGTCGATCCGAGGTCGCGGCCGAGATCGGTGGTCGGAGACGGATCGAACCAGTGGGGTGGGCAGCGTTTTGCCGCTCGTCCACCTGGGCCACCGCCGAGAAGCGAACGCTCGAGAACCTCGCGGATGCACTGGCGCCGCCGCCGTGCCTGGCAGAAGCGGGGGGCAGCCGATGCAATGAGAGGGCGAATGATGACGGTGGCGACGAGTGAGGCGACGTACATCGAGGGTTTCGAGGTGAATCCAGCGCGCCACCAGCCCTGACCAGGCAGGAGTTCGATTGCAATGCAACGCGTCCGTGGCGACGCCTTGGCGTCGACGAGGACGGCAGTGATGGATATAAAACGCAGGGGGAATATGAGGAGGAGGATGGGGAGGGACGCAATGGATGACAATTGTAATCGGCGATGACGAGTGAGCATGGCCTTGGACGATTTCGAGGTGGATCCGACCCGCAGCTTTGCCCAGGACCCCAACGACCATCGAAGCCATACCTGGTCTGGCCATGGCCCCGAGATGAGTTCAGCCGTGGCGACGAGATGCGCCCCGCCAGACATGCCCGACCCCCCCAAGCGTCCGACTGCATCGTGCTACGCTCCTCCATCCCCGATGACAACCAGCGCCGGCGAGCGTGCGTTTCTCCGAGCACGTGCGCGCACTAGTCTGCCACAGCAGCCAGCAGCGCGTCGCGCTCGGTCTTGGCTCGCCCCCGCACGGGGCCCAACTCCTGTTGGGGCGGAACATCGACGAGGCCCTTTGGCGGATTTGACTGGGAGCGGTGAGGACTCGGATGGGATGGGGGGCCCAGGGCGAGCACGAGGTTGAGGATGTGGTGGGGGGGGGGGGGGGGGGCACCGATCGCGCCGAGGATGCTGAGGATGGGGGGCGAGGGGGGCGAGGGTTAGGATGCGGAGGAGGTGGATGGGGCGGGACGAGATGGGTGGCGTGGAGGAGCGCGCGGTGGGAATATGGGTTGGCAGGAGAGGTGGTGCGGCGATCGGCTGACGGGGAGCGGGTGTGTGATCTCCTCTTCCTCTCCCTCATCATCCTCGTCTTAAGTATCTCTATTATCTTCCTTGTCGTCGTCCTTGTCCTCGTCATCCGCATGGTCACCTGTCTCGCCCCCATCCTCACTATCGTCATTCCCCTTCCCCCTCAACGCCCCGCTACTCGCGCGTCCCATCCATCCACATCCAAGCCCTCAATCTCCAACTCGTTTACATCACCTCCCATCTGGTTTGCTAAACGCGCGGCCCCTTGGCTGCGATCGCATCCAAATCGGCGAATGCCGCCGCCATCTTCTTGATGTCCTGCTGCGCGTTCTCGACGACCTGCTCGCAGATCTCGAAGTTCGCCTCGAACTCGTCGCGGGCCCCAACCAGCAAGATCTGCTTCTTGAGGGGCCCGCCCACCGCCCGCGGGAAAATGGCCGCGCTCGCGCCGTGTCCAGGCGACGCGGTCAGCACCTACAGGCCGTGGCGACGCAACCACGCATGTCCCCTCTCGCCCCCCCCCCCCCCCTTCCCCCCCACCCCCCCCCGCGCTCCCCCCCCCCCCACCCCCCCCCCCCCCCGCCACGCGCGCACACGCCCCACCGCCACCCGCGCACACACACACACACACCACACAAACACACACACACACACACCCACCACGCACGCACGCACGCACGCACGCACGCACGCACGCACGCACGCACGCACGCGCGGCGCACGCAAGCACGCACACACACACACGCACACACGCACACACACACACGCACGCACACACACACACACACACGCACACACCACACACACACACACACACACACACACACACACACACACACACACACACACACACACACACACACACACACACACACGCGCACACACACACGCACACGCCACCCCGCCCCGCCCCCGCACGCCCACCCGCGCACGCACACACACGCACACACACACGCACATACACACCGCGCACACACACACACACACACACACACACAGACACACGCGCGCACGCGCACACCGCCACCATCGGGAGCCCCAGACGACGAAGATGGCTTCATGAGCGAAGGAAACGAGGTTGCGAATGGCGACAGAGATTGGGGGGGGGAGCAAGTAGGGATTGAGACGTGAGGGGCGGTGGCGAGAGGGGCGAGGCGGAGTGAACAGGAATGGAGGTTCAGACTAGCGACAAGATGCCAGTGCGATTGGGGGCTGGGCGGGCGAGGAAGCGGCGGGGGATATGGAGGCGGCCGATGAGGATGACGATGGGCGAGGGGGCGGGGGCGAGGAGGCGGATGGCGAGGAGGGCGAGGGCGATGAGTGTCGATGCTGAGGACGACGATAACGAAACCTACGAGGGATGGGGGTGCCCCGAGGGCATGGTAGATATTATGCAGTTACCCGCGTCCATGTCGTGCTCTGGCGCTGGCGCTGCTGCTGCTGCTGCGGCTGCCCGCTTCGCGCCTTTCATCGCTGCTGCCTTTGGCTTCGCCTCGGGCGCGTCATCGGCTGCGGGCCCCTCCTCGGCTGCGGGCTCATCCTCGGCTGCGGGCTCCTCCTCGGCTGCGACCTCCTCCTCGCAGCCCTCGTTCTCGTCTGCCTCCTCATCAGCTTCCTCTTCTTCAGCTGGCGTTTCATCATCGAATGGCACCTCATGCGCTGCTGCTGGGTGCTCTGTCGCAGGTTTCTTTCGCGCTCCTGATTTGGCTTTGGCTTTACTTTGACCCTTAGCTTTAGCTGCGGCTTTACTTTTACATTTAGCTGGTCTCGGTGCCGGCGCCCTCGCCGGAGGATCGATCAGGGCCCCCGCGTCCGTGGGCCAATCGCGCGTGAGTTCGGCGTTGCACGTGAACGGGTTGCCCCCGTTGTCGATCGCGCCCCTGAACTTCGCAACCAAGAACCCGTCGACGCTTTTCTCGAACGATGTCGCCTCGATCGTGGTGCCCGACGTCATCACCGCGATCGCCGTTGTGCCGTTGTACTGAGCGAAAATCGGTCACGCGTCCTCGCCCGACTGGTCAGATCTGTCAGCCGAGCAGCCGATCGCATCACCCCGCAGATGCACGAGCGGATTCGATCTTCTTTTTGGTCGGGCCGATGCTCGCGATGCCGAGGGTGGTATGCTCAGTGGCCGACTGGTGATAAGATCGAGCAGCTCTTTGACCTCGGAGGGTGCCTTCTCGCGAGCCGCCGTCGCGAGTTCCTCGCTGCGCGGATGGGCCCGCGAAGCTTGCGATGAGGAATATGCTATTGACGAGGGCACGGACGAACTCAAACGAGAGAGAGGGAAGGGGGCGACAGAAATTTTAGTCAGATGACAGAATTTTCTGTCACACGCAAGGGGCGTGATGACGAGGGAGAGGACGGCGAGTTGAAGTAGCTGAAGTTGCCATCATGCCACTACACCCTCGCACACAGCTCCTATCCTCCCGATCGTTGCCAAGCTCCTCCTCCCACCACCCGAGCAAACCTGCCATGCCTACACCGCGATGTAGGACGGGCAGCTTTGCTTGGGCGATGTCGCAAGGGGATGGAACGGCGAGGATACGCGGTACGCGACATGATGCGTGTCCTCACCGTTCCGCCCCCTTATCATTCCATTATCCACCTCCGCCTGTTCTTCCTCAAATGTCCGAACGATTCCTACGCATCTCCTCCTCCGCAGCTTTCTTGTCGTCATCCATGTGCCCCCTCCTCCCCCTCTTCGCACCATGTTCCTCATTCGGGATTTCGAATGCCGCATTCCCTGTGCTTGGCGCGCACGCGCCCGAGCATCGCGCGCGACTTCAGGGGGGGCAGTTCGGGGGGCGTCGGCGGGGGCGAGCCCGTCGAACGCGACGCTCTGCGCGCGCGTGGGGTGATGGGCTTCTCGGCGCGCAGGCGCGCGATCGCAGCCGCGCAGGGGGGGGGGGGGGGCGAGGGCGGTGAGGCCGAGGGGGCGAAGGGGGTGATGAAGGAGGAGGGGGAGGATGAGGAGGGGGGGGGGGGGGGGAGGAGGGGGAGGAGAGATGGGATCGCGCGGGACGGAGGGTGGGGGGGGGGGAGGGCGATTAGGACGAGGCGAAGGGTGGGGGCGCGGAGGAGGACGAAGAGGTGCGCATGACGGTGTTGATTCTGATGATGATGCTGATGCCGCTGCTGACGCTGGTGGCGATGGCGATGAGGATGAGGACGGGGCCGCCGGGGAGGTGGAACAGGGGGGGAAGAGGGGGGCGGGGGGGCGAGGATGAGAGATTGTGGAGAAGGCGGGGTGATATGTGGACATGCTAGGGGGGTGCGCGCGCGCGCGGCGGTGGGGGGGGGGGGGGGGGGGGGGAGGGGGCGGGGAAGACGGCGTGGGATGAGGAGGGCGAGGAGGTGATGGAGGGCCGCAACCGCGAGGTCGCTGTGGTTGAAGTAGCCGCCGCGAGGATCCAGGGCCATCAGAGGAGCGATGATGCCCCCTGGGGAATGGGCGGGTTGGAAGGAGGGCTTGGCGCGCGAGCTTGGGCGATGAAGACGAGGATGGCGATGGGGAGGATGAGGGGGGGCGGACGATGATGAGTACGACGCCGGCGATGATGGGGGGGGGGGCGCGGCGGACAATGAGGAGGCATAAGTGGATGAGGAGGGTATGAATAGTAGTCGGAGTCGGAGTCGGAGGGGGAGGAGGAGGAGTAGGAGGAGGAGGAGGAGGAGGAGGAGGGGGAGGAGGAGGAGGAGGAGGAGGAGGAGGAGGAGGAGGAGGAGGAGTAGGGGGAGGAGGAAAATGGGGGATGATGAGGATGCGGAGGAGGATGAATAGTCGGAATAGGATGGGGATGATGAGACGGATGAGGAGGAAGGCTAGGAGCACAGTCTTTGTACAAGCACAGGGAGTCTACGTCGACACCGATCTTGGTGTCGTTGCTGGCGTAGTGGATGCCGTTGGTCGTCTCTAGCATCGTCTTCCAAGTCGGCCGCAGTGCGTCCTGGGATGGCACCCCCATCGTCCTCCTCCACATCCTCACCCCCGACGCCATCGCCATCAGCCCCACCATCATCAATATCATCAGCATCGCCATCATCATCAGCATCATCACAAGTAGCACCATCAGCGTCGCCATCGTTAGCATCGCCATCGTCATCATCACCATCATCATCAGCAGCATCATCATCAGCCTCGTCATCAGCATCATCATCATCCGTGCCAGCCTCATCAGCATCAGCACCATCGTCATCATCCATATCTTCACCACCATCAGCATCATCATCATCAGCACATCCCCCCCCCGTCGTTCGGCACATCCTCGCGCGCGACCCGCACGACAGAAAGTTCTGTCACATGGCTGAGTGTTCTGTCGCTCGTCCTCTTTCTCCGCCCCATTCTCCTCGTCAGTTTCATCGTGTTCATGGTTCTCCCCGTGGCCCTCCTCTGGGCACTGATTGTCTGACCCGTGCTGTGTTTCCATATCCTCATCCTCACCCCCTTTATCCGTCTCGTCTCATCTCCTCGTTCGCCCTCCTCTTCCTCGTCGCTCCCCCTCCTCATTCGACCCCGTTGCTGTCCTGCAGCGCCTCATGCGCGGCGCCGCCCTCGGCCGCGGAGTTTCGCGCGCGGCCCATGCTGGCTGGCTGGCCGTGCCGCGGCAAAGCCAGAATGGCTCGATGTGACGCAGACGATCTCTGCCCCCGTCCTCATCTCTCCCGCGTCCCCCCTCTCCTTCGCCCGCTCCCACATATCATTCCTATCCCATCTGGCCCCCGCTGCGCCAACACTTTCACCGCCGCTACATCCGCCATCATCACCATCATCAGCAGTGGCGTCATCATCAGCACCATCAGAACAACATCATCATACTCATCATCAGCATCATCAATTTCTGTTGTCGCGGCGGGCAAAACGCGCTGCCCACGAGGGCAGCGCGCACCAGGGGCGGGGGGGGGGGGAGGGCATGCTGAAATGCCCCAATGCCCCAAGGGTGACGACAGCCACCGCTGGGCCTACCCAGCCACAGCGGCGCCACCGGCGATGACTCCCCGCCCGCAGCGAGGCGCTCCGCGCGCCCCGCGCGCAGGCAAGGTTCGAGCCAACATAGCTTCATCCATCATCACCATCATCATCACCACCACCATCATCATCACCAGCATCATCATCCTCATCATCATCATAGTCAGCAGCATCGCCATCCTCGTCATAGACAACACTTGGAAATGTCAGCACCATCATCACCGTCACCATCATCATCGTCGTCATCATCATCATCATCATCCTCGTCCTCATCATCATCGTCATCGCCAACGTCATCACCATCAACAACAACATCAACACCGATGGGGGGGCGAGGGAAGAGAGGTTTGCGCGTCTCCGTCTGCCCTCGGCGACCGCGGCAGCGGCGCCGCCGCCCGCGTCGCCCGCGGCGCGGGCGGCAGCGCAAAATGCGCCCGCCCCCCCCGCGCCTCTCGAGCGGGGGGCGCGGCGGCAACGACGGGCGGGGGCGGGGCGGGGGGGGGGGGGCGGGGCGACAACGATCGATACACCGTCTCTTTCTGTCGATATAAGTATATATAGACATGGCACGATGTGTGTCATTTATGCGTGATCTACTACATTTGTTCGAATTCGATACACATGCAGCATGTGCTAGCCCACCAATTCTATGTATATAGATAGAGCTTGCTGGATAGTTTTCGGAATGCCAGGTTTCTCATCCAGCCTCGTCTCGACGTCCGTGCTCCTGGAATGGGCTGCCTTTGATGTCCCGCCAGCCTCCCTTTCAGGATTCACGCTCGTAAAATTCTGGCTCAAGATCGCCTGGCGGCGATCGGAACGGGCGCCACGGCGAGCCACTCCCAGGTTGCAGTGTGCGCGCGATCAGCCCTCCTCGCTGGCTCGGGGGCGCTGCTCTGGAGCCAGGTAGCCTGGCACCTGGCGAGCTGGGCTGCTGGGCGCTTCGGGCCTGAGGCGGCTCGGGTGCTGACTGTCGCGGGGGCGCGGGGCGTCGCCGCGCTGGGCGAGGCCGCCCACACAGCCTCCTGCTGGGGCTGGCGCGCGCTGCAGGCGGCAGCGACCTTCGCGAGCTCTCTGCTTGCTCTCGCTTGGGAGCATCGCAGCTGGCTGGCACGGGGAGCCCGAGCCGCCTGGTCGCGTGGCCGCGCGGCGCTGAGGGCCGCCTGGGCTCTGGGCGCACAGTCCGTCGGAGGGCTCCGTGGCTGGAGGGCGGCCCGTCGGGCCGACCGCGCACGCGCTCGCGAGCTCGCAGCCGCTTCAACCGCTCTCGAGTACGCCTTGGTGGAGATGGCGCTTGCAGGTGGCGTAGCCGTCGGGGCGGCGGACCCGTGCTGGGTGCTGCTATCCCGCGGCGGCGAGTGGGACGAGGTCCTGATCTTCGGGCAGGTGCGTGGCGCGGACTACAGCCTGGGCTTGACGACGGACGCGACGGGGGTCGCGTTCGTCTGGGTGCTGGCGCGCCTGCTGCCGGGGCATTTTCGCGCTGTGGTCGTGCCTGGAGGGGGAGGTCTCCGCATGCCGCCGTTTGGCGTTCCTGGTGCCCAGGTCAACTGGGTGTGCGAGCCGCCGCACGCCGCGGTCCAGTGGGACCCGAGCGCGGCCGAGCTGGCCGCGCTGCGCTTGGAGGCCCAGGGCGTGGACGCGGCCCTGCAGACCTTCGTGCTGGCGCCGGGGGTGATCTTCGACGCGGGCTCGCAGGCGGCGACGATCCCCGCCTTCGTGCCCGTGGGGGGCCCTCTTCCACCTGCAGGGGGTGGGGCCGTCGTGCCAGCAGCAGCGGGAGCCGCGGGAGCCGCAGCGGCGCCCCCGCCCGCGGGCGCGGTTGCGCTACCCGCCGCGGGCGTGGCGGGGCCCGCGGCTGCCGCGGGTCTGGGCTTCGGCGCCGTGGGAGCGCCCGACGGGGCGGCAGCCGCCCCCGCAGCGGGCATCGACCTGGCGTCGCTGCTCCAGGAGGTCCGCGCGATCCAGGGCCAGCTGCAGGATGGGGGCGGCCTGAACAGCAAGCGAGAGAAGAAAGACAAGAAGTCTGCCACCAAGAAGAAGAAGAAGAAAAAAAAGAAGAAGAGGTCCGACTCCAGCGGCTCGACAAGCTCGAGCGACAGCAGCTCCTCCAGCAGCAGCGACTACCTGCGGTGGCGCGGGCCCAAGGCCAAGAGCCGTCGGGTCGACCCCGCCCAGGAGCGCAAGCTGGAGACCGAGAAGTTCAAGGCCAAGGGCGACCTCCTGGCGTTCGCGGCAAAGCACCCAGGAGCACTCTCGGGGCATTTCCTGGCGATGGTGCACCGCAAGCTGAGCCACGGGCGCTTGACGGAGACCAAGCAGCTGAGGCGCGCGTCGGTGACGACGTGGGCGCAGGCACACTCGGGCCTGACCGAGCTGCGGGACCAGCGCGAGGTGCAGACGTTGGCGCTCGTCATGGACCTGATCAACGCGCAGGATCTGGCGACCGCGATGGACGTGCTGGCGCAGCGCATCATCGCGATCCAGCGGGCGAAGGCCAAGGGCGGCTCCTGGGAGAAGGCCGAGGCCGCGGAGCTGCTGGCTGGCACGGGGGGCGGGGTCGCTGCAGGCGGCCTCTTGAAGCTCACCATGTGACGAGGTGGCGGAGGGCGCGGCAGAGGTGGCTGCGCCGCGGAGGCCAGGAGTGCACGTTGGCTTCCGTCTTGGTCGGTCTGGGCGACTGGCTGAGCTTCGCTGGAGGGCCGCTGGGGCTGCCACTACGCCGTGGGCACCTCGTTCGGCCGCGTGTCGTGGAGTTCGGGAAGGCCTCGCCAGGCATCTTCCCAGTCCCTTTGCTGCGGCGTGGTGACGCCGAGCTCGCAAAGTTCGGGCGGCAGTACCGGGGCGCAATTTTGGTTTGGGCGAACATGTGCATCGTCGCGCTCAACGATCTGTACGACGGAGACGGCGACTACACCATGTTGCCGACGCAAGCCCAGCGTCGTGTGCAAAGGCGCATGCTGATGGGCGTCTCCCGCTTCCTCGCGGCCGAGTTGGCTTGGCCAGAGGCGGCGACAATTCAAGAGGTCCTGCGCCACTCCGACGGCTACGAGCCGTCCAGGTGCGTCGCGGAGCCCCTCGGCGAGCGTGGCGGAGTGCCAGACCGCGCCGCCGTCGTCGACCTGGCTGGGCTGCTGGACGAGCACTTTCCTGGGCTTGCTCATCAGGTGCGCTGCCCTCGATCACTGCTCCTTAGCGTGGATCGGCGGCCCGCCAGGCTCAAGAGGCCTCACACGCTGGTGGGGCCCACTTACCCCAGTCTCGTGGCGCGCAACGTGGCGGCGGGCCTGCAGGGGTACGGCTCCAAGAAGAGGGTGCGCAAGCATCGTGGGGTTGCTCTCGTGGCTGGAGCTTTCGGCGTGAAGAAGTCAGACACGGAGCAGCGGGTGATCTCGGACCTGCCAGTGAACCAGCTGCTCAACCCTGATGCCCTCCCTCGGCCGACCTTCGCGTACCCGCCGCGGCTCCGTGTGGTGAAGACGCTGCCAGGCATGCGGGTCAAGCTGTGGAAGCGGGACCTGCGCCACTACTTTCACCAGCTGGCGATCGGCAAAGCCTGGCGGAAGTACATGGCCCATCCACCCGTGCCTGACCCGCGCGGGGGGAAGGGGAAGGTGTTCCCGTTCCACCACGCGACGCCGATGGGCTTCGCGCCGTCGGCGGGCTGGGCGCAGGCGGCTTCCGACACCGCTTTCCTGAAGGCAGGGCTACCCCAGGAGCGCAGGGTGACGTTTGACCAGCCCTGCCCCACCGAGCTGCCGCTCTGGGGGTCCATCATTGACGACCTCTGGGCGTTGGACGCGCGCTCTGCAGGCGACCGCGCGCGGAGCCAGGCCGACTTCTGGATGACCAAGGCCGAGCGCGCCTGGGACCGCTTGGGAGTTCCTGTGCATCACGGCAAGTCCGTGGACGGCGGCAGCGGCGAGTTCCAGGGCACCGAGGTCCACCCCACGGAGCACTGGCTGGGTACCACTTCGCCGCCGCCGCGTGGACCTCTTCGCAGCCACCCTCGCTCTTCTGGGCCAGCAGCTGGTCTACCGCAAGGACGTGGAGCGCTTGGTCGGGAAGCACGGTTTCTGCCAGAGCTATCGGCCTTGCTTGCGGTCTAACTTTTCTCAGGTCTATTCCTGGCTGGAGCGCCTACCCTTGCAGGGGCGCAAGCCCGTGGCGTGGTGCCCGTCGGCGTGGCATGAGGTGCTGATGTCGGCTATCCTGCTGCCGTTCGCCGAGCAGGACCTGGATGCGGACTGGTGCCCGCGCGTGGAGTGCACGGACGCCGCGCCAGGAGGGCATGGCCGCGCCTGGGCGACGCTGCCGCTGGAGTCGGTGCAGCACATCGCCAGGTGGGCTGACCATCGGGCGCCCTACACTATGCTCGGCGACGGCTTCGGGGTTGACGTGGACGTCGAGGGGCGCTGCAGCCTGGCCCGTGTTACGCTGCCGCCAGTGGGCCACTGGTTCAAGGTGGGCAGGCCAGGCGGCTATCAGCACATCACGCTTGAGGAGGCGCACGCGAAGCTCTGGGGCATGGAGGCCCGTCTGCATCGGCCCTCCGAGTTGGGGAAACGAGTACTGCATGCTGGAGACAACGCCCCGTGCGAGGGCGCCTTCATCAAGGGACGCAGTGCCAGCCGCAGGCTCAACCGGCGCTGCCGCCGTGGGGCGGCTATCGAGCTCGCGGGCGGGTTCTCGCACTTCCACTTCTGGATCTCGACTGGCAAGAACCCCGCCGACGAGCCCAGCAGCTGGCACGGGTCGCGCCAGGCGCGTGGCGGCCGGCGCAAGCCGCCTCAGCCGCTGCCCCGCCAGGAGGCGATCCCGCTGGCGCCAGCAGGATGGGCATCTCGCGAGAAGCTCTTCCTGCACTTCTGCTCTGGGCCCAGGCGCGAGGGCGACCTGTGCGAGATGGTCGAGCGGGAGGCGCGCGGGGCTGGCCTGGTGGTGAAGGCGCTGGCCTACGACCCCATGGTCGACCCTGCCCACGACTTGACGTCGCCTGTGCTGGTGCGCGAGCTGAGGGGGCTGTGCAGCAGCGGCGACGTGATGGGCTCCTTCGCGGGGCCGCCTTGCTCGACCGTCAGTCGCGCCAGGCATCACGCCCTGGGCGGCCGCCGCGGCCCGCGCCCTCTGCGCTCTCGGGACCAGCCGCTCTTGCCCTTGCCTGAACTGTCAGAGTCCGAGCGCCAGGCTTGTGCGCTGGGAACGCATCTCTTCCTCCTCTGCCTCGAGCTCTTCACCAGAGTCCATATCAGAGGGGGCTGGGCAGGACAGGAGCATCCTCAGGATCCAGGTCGTCATCCTTTCCCGTCCTTCTGGGTTGCTCAGGAGGTGGTGGAGTGGATCTCTGAGTTCGGTTTGTACGTGGTCTCGTTCGATCAGTGTCGGCATGGATCGTTATCTCAGAAGCCCACGTCCGTTGTCACCAATGACGCCAGGGCCGCCGCGGTCCTGGGACTTCGCTGCAATCATCGACACCGTCACAAGGGCGTGTACGGCCTGGCCCCGAAGGGAGGTTTCGTCACCGCTCAGTTGGCGCGCTACCCTCCGCAGCTGTGTCAGGCTCTGGCTCGCTTGGCGGTCAACGCGCTCGTCGCCCATCAGCAGCACCTCAGCCATGGCCGACGATCCTGGCAGGCGCCGTGGGCGCATCATTACCTTCTTGATGAGCGCGCTGAAGCCAGTGACGACCGACAGGTACGCCGCCGCGCTGTGCGATTTCAGCTGTGACCTGGAGGCGCTGGGCTACAGCATCCACGAACTCACTGAGGAGGAGCTCGATTGGTTCCTGGCCGAACGAGTGGTGGATATGTTCGAGGAGTCTGGCGGGGTGGAGGGGCTTGGGACTGCCTCAACCCTGCTGGCCGCCTTCGCGAAGGCGAATCCTCGGCACCACTACCGCACGGCCTGGAAGGCGCTGGACGTCTGGCGCACCCGCAGACCGCCTCTGCAGGCGCCCGCCTTACCAGCGGTGCTGGCGCTGGGCATCGTGAACTGGCTCGTGCTGGCCGGAGAGTGCGGCTGCGCCGCCGCCGTGCTGCTGTGCTTCACTGGGTTGCTGCGAGCGTCCGAGGCGCTCTCCTTAGACGGCGCGACCTGGATCAGGACCGTGACAGGGTACGTCGCGCTGCTCGGCCGCACCAAGAGAGGGGCAGAGCAGAAAGTCCTGTTCGAGGAGCCGTCCACCGTGACCTGGCTGGATCACTACATGCTGCGCTTTCCCGCCAGAGCAGGGCAGCGTGTGTGCCCCATCTCGTACCCGCGGCTCCAGCGGTGGCTTCAGAAGGCCGCCGACGCGCTGGGCTTCGGGGCTGTTCACTGGACGTCTCATGGGCTGCGCCGTGGGGGAGCCACGGAGCTGCTGTCACGGGGCGTGCCGCTAGCGGACATCATGCTCTTCGGTCGCTGGCTCTCAGAGAGGTCTGCTCGTGAGTATCTCCGGCGCGGGGAAGTGAGTCTCACTCGTTTGCGTGTTGACATTGCAAAGTCGTCATGGTCTCTTGCCTACAGGTACTGTGCAGTTGGAGCCCAAGTTTGGGCTGTAGTCTGACTTTCAGTCAGTTTCTTCTTCTCCGATTGTTGTTTCGTAGCTTTCGCTGGATAGGGGAAGGTGGCGAGGCATTGGCCTACGCAGGCCAGCGTGGTGCGATCGTGATCGCACTCCACCTTTGGAAAATATTATGGTACGCTTCGCGTGCGCCCTCCCCTGAGAAGGGTCGGAGAGGTGGTTGTAGGTGACGTTCTGAAATAGATAGAGCTTGCTGGATAGTTTTCGGAATGCCAGGTTTCTCATCCAGCCTCGTCTCGACGTCCGTGCTCCTGGAATGGGCTGCCTTTGATGTCCCGCCAGCCTCCCTTTCAGGATTCACGCTCGTAATATTCTGGCCCTGCTGCGCTCCCACCCACCCGTGGTGGTCACCGACAACAGTGTGGAGTGCGCGGGGCCTTGCACTGCTCCTCGAGCGGCGAGGCATTGGCCTACGCAGGCCAGCGTGGTGCGATCGTGATCGCACTCCACCTTTGGAAAATATTCTGGTACGCTTCGCGTGCGCCCTCCCCTGAGAAGGGTCGGAGAGGTGGTTGTAGGTGACGTTCTGAAATATATATATATATATATATATATATATATATGTATGTGTGTGTTCGTACACACACACATATATACATACATATATATACACATATATATATATACACGTGCATCTGTAGACATACATACATAAACACATACAAACATACTTATATAAATGCACGTATACGCATGTACACGCGCATATATACATACACACACATATATATACATATGTGTTCCCGATTACCTTTTTCCGGCGCCAGCTTTCTTCGCAACATATAGAAGGAATCCGACTTTGAGCGCCGGCCCCGACAAATGATACCGCACCCAGCAATCCACCCTTTCTTCAGGGGGAACATGGCAGGACATGTAGGATCGGAGCCTCTGGGGAGGATGGGGGGGGGGGGGGGGAAGGGGGAAGAGGTGGGGGGGGGGCGACGAGGAAGGCGCAGCGGGGGCTAAGAAAGCGCCGCAGCGCACGGCCGTCGAGAACGCCGGCGCCCCCGGCGAGGAGGCGGCGCGTTTGGGCGCCCCCGCAGGAGCTGCAGAGGTTCAAGGCGCGGCCGAAACCGGAGACGCCGCGCCCGGCCAGGGCGGCCGCGGCGCTTGCTTCGTTTAGGGCCAAGGGGGGGGGGGGGGGGCGCAGCGCGCGCCTCTTGTCTGCGTTGTTTTTTGTTTGTGGCGCGCGCTGCGGCCCCGATCGGTGTTTTTGTTGTTCGATATGCGGGTCGGCCCGCGTTCGCGCCGGCGCCCCCCCCAGCGGCCCCTGGGGGGGCCTCCCGAGAACAGGGGCAACGGGGCCTCCAGGGGGGCCAGAAAAGCCGGCGCGCCCAGCGCGGCCGCCAGCGGCGCCCCATTCGGAAAGCGGCCCGAGGAGGAGGAGCGCGGAGGAGGAGGAACGCCGGGGGTGGGAGGGGGGGGGGGAGGGGGCGAGGAGAGGGAGGAGGATGGGGGGCGAAAGGGTAGAGGAGAGCAGGCGGGCCCACGCGGGGGGGGGGGGGAGAGAGAGAGAAGGGGGGGGGGGGCAGGGAAAGGGAGGATGCAGGGGGGGAGGGGAGAGGGAGGCGGAGGAGGAGGAGGGGGGGGGGGGGGGAGGAGGAAGACAGGGAGGAGGGTGGGGTTCATTCCTGCACTGCTTCCACGGCGTCGCCCCTGGCTCGCGGCGACCGTCGCCGCTCTGCGCGGGCGAGCCGAGTGGGCGCCGTCGCTCGCGCCAGCGAGGTCCGCGTCAGTTGCGGAAGCCTGCGCGCGCCAGCGGGCGGAAGCCAAGCGCGCGCCGGCGGGCCTGGGCGGCCCGCAGGCGCTTTCCGCACTCGTCGCTTCTATTTGCAGGCCGCGATCGATCTTCCACCCTTCCCTCTTCCCTTTTGCGCGCGTCCTTCCTCCTTCCTGGTCCGTCCATCTTCGCTTCCGCTTCAGATTTCGCCATTAATCATTATCCATCCATCCTCATTCCGCCTCGCGCCATCCTTTCTCATCCCCCTGCCTTTTCTCAGATGCCCCCATTCCCCTTCGCAGAGGTCTCTGGTTCCTGAAAAACTGTATCGTTTCATTTTTCTAAACGCAGGAAAACGCCCGGAAAAATGAGAAAATGAAGAAAACAGAAACAAATAACAAGTAATAATAATATTATTATTATTATCAACATTACTATATACACTGAAAATGGCCAGGCGGACGCGCGGCGGGAGGAGGAGGAGGGGGGGGAAGAGGGGGGGGGGGAGGGGGGGGAAGGAGGAGCAACCCTGTGGCAGAGCGATAGGATCACCATCATGTCAGCCGCGTGCCCCCGTTGTCCGTGGCCCGCGGCGTGGAGGTGAAGGCCCGCCCTCCCTCTCTCTTCTTCTTATTCCTGCGCCTTCCTCTTCTCGCGGCTGCTTTCCCCCTCCGGCGCAGCCTGCCCGCGCTCGCCGCAAGCTTGCTGGGCTGAAGCCTTTGAGAGACGCGCCTGTGGCTCGCCCCGCGGGCACTTGCGACGGCGCTTCGCGCGGCCACGCTGAAGCGCGCTGGGGGCATGATGCAGGATCGAGTATGTAATTCTTTATTGTTAATCCACCTCAATCCTCTCGATCGACCACCCCTCGGGGCCCCCGCGCGCCCTCCGTCGGAGGGCGGAGGAACTCACCCCGAGCCGCCCCCCTCCCAGGAGAGCGCGGAGGCCGCCGAGAAGCAGCAGCAGTCGCGCAAGTTCCCGCGCACCGAAGGGCAGGCTGACGACGGCGAAAACGACGACGACGACGACGACGAAGAGGACGACGACGACGAATGCGGCGACGACGACAGAGACGAAGACGACAAAGACGACGCATACGACCTAGGAAAAGGGGGAGGAGGAGGCGGAGGAGGGGGGAGAGGGAGGAGGAGTGGAGGAAGAGGAGGAGGAGGAGGAGGAGGAGGAGGAAGATCAAGAGACGGATGCGTTGATATGAACATTGTGTTACACCATTCCCCAGATGGCTCCGACGCTGATCCACGTGGGCGGCAGCAGTGACGACGTCCCGCTCGGCCAGCTGCGGACGGGCGGTGCTGGGGGCGCTGCTCCTGACGGGCGTGCTGGGGGCGCTGCTCAAGCTGGCGAGCGCGCTGGGGGTGCTGCTCATGCTGACGAGCGCCGGGGTGCTGCCCAAGCTGGCGAGCGCGGGGGTGCTGCCCAAGCTGATGCTGATCCGCGCGGGGGTGCTCCTGCTGCGCCTGTCGACCGTGCTGGCGGGGTCGTGACCGTCGTGGCCTTGCCCGACTCCATGCCGCCGTCCGACGCGCAGCGCGACGGGCGCATGGGTTCGCCAAAGGTTCAAACGGGTTCAACGGTGGATGGGAGCGGACGGGCACGACGATGAGGAGGAGGAGGAGGGGCAACAGGAGGAGGGGGAGGGGAGAGGGAGGATGGCGACGACGGCGACGACGACGACGACGAGGGCGAGGGCGAGGATAACGAGGGTGACACAACGGAGGATGAGGGGGGCAACGGGTCCAAGGGATACCGGGGCACGTCGGCTTGCCCATCGAGCGATCCGCCATCGATCGAAATCGGCAGGGTTCTGCGAATATTCATCCAAGAATATTCCGACGTGGAGACGGAAAGTGACGAGTTCGATTGCGTAGGCTTCGGCAGTCTCGATTGGCCCCTCGAACGCGGCTCGAACGCGCCCACCTGCAGCGTCGGCGAGTCGACGTTTCCAGCGGGTTCGGATTGGGAGAGCGCGTTCGTGGCGGGCGAGGGCGGGGGATCCAGAGATCCTGCCTCTTTCCCTCAAAAGGGGAGTAGCAGGTTCATTGCATCGCCCTCGGTCGTAGGATTCAGACGGGCCGATCGACCTCGAGATGCCGTGCGGGCCCTTCGGGCCGCTCCCGGCCCAGGCGCCCGAAGTGCGCGACGGCCCGCCGACCGAGCCGAGCCAGCAGAAGCCCGTGCAGTCGATCTCGGAGGCCGAGACGGCGCCTGCAGCGGTCGCTGCCCACGGCCGCGGCGCGGACGCGGCGGCGGGGGCGGGGGCGGCGACGCAGGCGCCGGGGAGGGGTGGAAGGAGAGGAGGAGGAGAAGGAGGGGGAGGAGGAGAAGAAAGAGGAGGAGGAGGAGAAGGAGGAGGAGGAGGAGGGGGAGGAGGGGGGGAGGAGGACGAGGGGACGAATACAGGACGAGGACGAGGACGAGTGCGAGGGCGAGGGCGAGGCGAGGACGAGGGCGAGGGCCGAGGGCGAGGGCGAGGGCGAGGACGAGGACGAGGAGGAGGGCGAGGGACGACGGGCGAGGACGAGGACGAGGACGAGGAGGAGGACGAGACGAGGAACGAGGAGGAGGAGGAGGAGGGAGAGTGAGAGGAGAGAGAGAGAGAGAGAGAGAGAGAGAGAGAGAGAGAGAGAGAGAGAGAGAGGGAGAGGAGAGAGAGAGAGAGAGAGAGAGAGAGAGAGAGAGAGAGAGAGAGAGAGAGAGAGAGAGAGAGAGAGAGAGAGAGAGAGAGAGAGAGAGAGAGAGAGAGAGAGAGAGAGAGAGAGAGCGAGAGAGAGAGAGAGAGAGAGAGAGCGAGAGAGAGCGAGACCGGACAAGTAGGCGGACCAGGGTCTGTCCGCGAGGCGCACTGCGGTGCGACAACCCGCAAAACACTATTAGCGGCGGTGCAGCCTTAGGATACGAGGGCGGGCAAAAGACCCCCTCCCCCGGCGCATTGCGTCTGAAGCTACGGACGGCGGACAGACTGTGAAGATCTCACGTGTCAGACCGCGTGACGAAGAAGGCCCCAACAAGAAAGGCGACGTGCGGACCCGTGGCTAGGCGGCTTGGCAGACCGCCAGTTGGGCGCTTGGCCGCAGCGCGGCGCGCAGGGACGGGGCACCCCCCGCCCCCACGCCCTGACACCGTGGACGCGGGGCCACGCGTGCACACGGGCAGGCAGAACGGCGGAGATTAGCGCGGGGCTCCAGGCGGAGCGCCGCGGAGCGATGACAGCATAGCATGGAGGGTGAGTGGCGGCGCAGCACCATCGGGCGGGGGTGTTAGCAGCTCGGCGAAGGCGCGACCGGCGCGGTGGAGGCGCTGGAGCAAAGGGCCTTGACGGGCTTGGGCAGCGGCAAGGTCGGCGGCGAGAGCTGCGCACTTCTGCTGGAGAGCGGCCGTAGACTGGGACAGCTCGGCTTCGCGGTCGGTGCGGGGCGGCTGCTCTGTGCCCGCGGCCGCGGGCCTCGCGGCGGGGACGAGGTCATCGGTGCGCCTGGCCAGGTGATGGACCAGCGCGGTGCGGCGGTCCGTGCGCTGGCGGCCGTCGCCGTGGCGAGGCGACTGGAGGGTGTCGCGCGGTCCCAGGGCTGAAGCCGCTGGGGCCACGCCCCATGAGGACGGAGGAGCCGCAGCCTCGCAGCCTGCAACAGTAGGAGAGTGGACGGGGCGCGACGGCCTGACTGGCTCAGTGCCCTGCGGGGGGGCTGAAGCCGCCCCCGCGGGCTGGCGCTGGTGGGGGGACGGGGTTGGTGGCACGGAGGGACCAATCATGATGCCGCGCGAGGGCTCAGAGGTCGGCCGCGTGACCGGGTGGCGACTCGATGAAGCGGCATCGTCGGCAGCGTGGGGTGTCGGCGGGACGTCGTCTATGCTGCCACCCAATCCGAGGGGATCATAAAAGTCCTCGTCGGCGTCTTGGAGGTGAGCGACGTCATCAGGTGGGTGCGGTGCCGCTCTCGGTGGCGGAGTCGAGGTGGGCGTCGTGCGGATGCCCGACGGGGCAAGGTTGGCGCTGGCTGGCCCGTCGTCCAGGAAGTCTAGTCCCCCGCCGAAGCCGAACGGGTCGTCCTCCTGTTCGTCGTACATCGCCCGTTGGGCCTCGGCCCAGAGCTCGTCCGGGTTCTGCGGGATGTCTGGTCCAGCCGCGGGTGGTGCCTGGTCCGACAGCAGGGGGTTTGGTTCCATTTTGCTGAGTTCAGCCGCTGTAAACCCAGCCCTGCGGTGTGGGAGCGGCAGAGTACGGTGTCTGCGCTCGTAGATGGCGACAGCGACCCCGTGAAGCACGGTCGCTTGGCGATGTCGTGTTTTGGCAGCTTCAACGATGTCGTCGGGGAGGTTGTGCGTGCGTGCCGCCGCTGTGGCAAGGGCGTCGGCCTGACGGTTGAACTCCTCCGCGATGGGCCCGATGAGCCCAAGGTCGATGCCCAGGTCTCCCAGGTGGCTGGCGACTTTTTCGACGCGAAACATGTCGGGCTTGGCCATGACACATCGGTGAATCATTGCCCAGAGCTCCGCGTGCGTGCCCTGCGGCGCTGGATGTCCGTCGATGATGCTTTGGAACCCATCGACCACCGCCTGGTTGTCCACGAAGACGTGCACGGGCCGTTCGGCACACGCCGTAAGATGGACGATGGCAAGGGTCTCCGCAACCTGGGCGTTCTGCGTTAGGCCGTGAACGCGTGCACTGTAGTTCATGCGGTGGTCGATGCCGTAGTAGACGCCGTAGCCCGCTCGTGCTAGGAGTGGGATGGCTTGGTTGGTGCACGCACCGTCCGTGGCAGCATAGACCCAGGTCCATCCAGTGTCGTTGTCAAGGTAGGTGGTGTAGGTGTCCTGGGCTGAAGCCGCAGGATCACCCTCAGGGGGGGGCCGCGGGATGGGCTGTGGCAGCGGGTCCCTCGCGAGGTCGGCCTGCAGGTCGAGGAGGGCTGGGTCTTCGTCGAAGAGCCCGCGGTGTCTTGTGTGCGGCGGAAGACGGGCCCACTGGTCGTCACTGATGAGGGTGGTAAGAGGAACTCTTTCTCGGGCCCAGCACTTACAGTCGCGGACAGTGTGCTCCTGAGTTTCCTCTTCCTCGTCGCAGTAGCGGCACATGGGTCTGGGGTCTGCCGACGTGTTGGATCGGGATCGTCGCTGTTGGGTGTGGTCCCCGCCCGACAGGTAGTTCAGGAGGAGCGCCAGCTGCCAGGCAGTGCATTTGGCTGCTCCTTTGGTTCGCGCGAGCCACGTGCTGGCGAAGAGGTCAAGGCCCTGTCTGACCGAGGCGAGGTAGCCAAGGTCGTGTCGCCGTGGCTTGATCTTCCGCAGAAATGCCCTGCGTTGTGAGGCCCGCAGCATGTGCAGGAAGGCGTTTTGGGGTAGATTCAGCCAGCTGATCGGGCAGCCCCAGTCATCGTACATGATGCCAAATGTGGGCCAGGTCCATCGGAGCTGCTGGAGCGACTGGACGAGTCGCCCGACGGGTCCTCCACCAAACAGGGTCTGGACGTGGTGTTGGAGGTCTCTGGCGAGCCCGCAGAGTGTACCGTCGCGGTTAACCTGTCGCCGCAGGCACAGGAATGCTTCACGCTGCGTGATGGCGTCGATCTCAAGGGCGTGTCCCGGACGCACACGGCCATGAGAGTCCAGAACTCGACCCACTTGTTCCCCTTGGGGCGGATAGCCGCCTTGAGGGCGTGGTTGTAGGCCGTCTTGGCTGGGCCTGATGGTGCTTGAATGTCGGTGCCCGTGGTGCAGACGCTGGCAGCAAGGGAGCGGGCGTGCCGCGCCTTGATAAGCATCGGCGATGGGAGCTTGCCAATGCGCGGCAGGCGGATAGTCGCCCTCCGTACACGGGCGTCTGCGGTGGCCGTTATTGAGGTTAGCGCTCGGAGCCGGCGCTGGCATCGGGAGTTTGAGGAACTCCCGACGAGTTATTTTTTCTTTTATTTGCTTATTTTCTTCTTTTTTTTTTTTTTATTTTTTTTTCTATTATTTTTTTCTTTTTTTTTTACTTTTATGTTTCTTTTCCTTTTTTTTTTTTTTTTTTTTTTTGTTTTTCATATTTTTTTTTATTTTTTTGTTTTTTCTTATTTCTTTTTGAAAGGAATCGACCACTCGGAGGGGGCGATCCGCCAGTGTGAGCTGGGTGACGGCGTCGTGCAGCTCATCGGTGAGCGCCCACCCTGCCACTTTACCAGGGTGAATGCGTTGACCGGAGAATCGGTCAAACTTGGCGGTTTCGTCGAGAGATTTCTGCAGCTCAGGAGCGGTGCGGGTAGTGGAGTTGCTGTCGTCAACGAAGGTAGTGCTGAGTGATCGAGGAACGTATCGGTGCTGCCTCTTTGTCCACACGCACATGGGCAGCTTGATGTCATCCAGGGACCACGAGCTGCCCTGGAGGTGACCGTTTGTCCTGGCCAGGTCCCTGGAGTACGCTCCGTTCATGCGGATGTAGCGTTTGTGGTGTCTGTAGAAGTTTCGGCGGACAGTAACGATGTCTTGTGGGCACCCCGCGTGCAGCGCAAGGTTTAGACAGATGTCCGTGATGAGGTAGTCGAAGCACTTCTGTCGGTCAAGGGCTGCTCAAGCTAAGGGGAGGAGTAAAGTCCTGGCGTGTTCGATGCGCAGGGCGAGAGAAGTGCTGACATCCCCAATGGTGGCTTTGGGAACGGCGCCGAAGCTCGTGGCAGGGGTCCATCCTTGCCGCCAGGTCGTGAGGCTACGGTAGGCCGGCGCCTCCCACGCATACATCCACACGGAAAGAACCGAGAGAAGCCGTTGGTCCGTCGGGAGTTCACCTCGGCCTTTTCGGAGGCACGGGTTTGGCACGTGCAGGAGGGGCTCGGGGATGGTGCCAGTGCGTTGCATAGCACGTAAGACGCTGGCGAAGAGGCGAAGGATGTCGTCGGGTAACTCCTTTGCCTCCTTGGTCGTCAGCCGTCGAGTCCCCCCGCGCGGCGCGGTGAACGGGTGCGAATGAAGTGGATGAGTTGGTCGTCGGTAAGGTGGAAGGGGGCTGCTGGTGATGGCGTAGGCAGCTCTTTGCGGTATTCGTCGTAGAAGTCCGCCCACGTCGGCATAGCTTCGGCGTCATGGCCCGCGCGAGCGCGGTACGTGCCCAGGATGGGCCCCCAGGTGTCGACCATGAGCTTGAGCATGTCTTTGGTGTTGGCAACGATAGCGTTGGCGGGGAGGGCGTCGGGAACCTGGGCTGGTAGTGGGCCACGAATGGGGCCGTCGT